AATAAAGGATTGGATGCGAGTGTGCGTTTTATATGGCATTTGTAATGCACACATGTATTTGATGCGGCATTAGAATGCAGCGTTCAAAAAATTTCACTGTCGTTTTAGTCATATGGTTTGCTCCTAACGCTGTCTTATCTCTTTTTTTTTAAAGCGCATTCAAATTACGATTCCTCTTACCTTTTTATTTTGTTTTGAAGTCTTTCTAATAAGACAACGAAACGCTCGAAAAAGTCTCTTTCTCTCTCTATCTCATATGCATACGTTTTAATATTCCCTTTTTGTTTCTTCTTTTTCGTCATTTCGTTGTTATTTTAAAGTTTAAAATGTTCCTCTATCCTACAATTTGAAAATTCTCAAAATCGTTGTGCTTTTTCATCTATGGGATACATCTTCGGTTTGTTGCTCATTGCTTTTCTCCTACTCGGTTTTCATAAATGTGAGTAAAAGTTGTGGTTTTTTTTTGATGAGAAAAAAAAAACACCAAAAACTCTGTGTTTTGTTTTTGACGTGTTTTTCTTCTAACAAACAGCTGCGTATTCATTCTTAATTCTAATTTTCTATCGCCTTTTCTCTCTGATCTTTTTCAGCATAAACTCATATGACATTCAAGTGATTTTCAAGCGACAGTGTGTAGCATCAAAAATCGTTTTCATATGTACCGGTATGTATTGATATAAATGCACATTTTCACGCGCGCTTCTTTTGTTTTGAGATGGTGTGTGCATTCCGATATTTCAACAGTTTCTTCTCTCGAATTTAAATAAATTTGATGATTGTTTAAATAAATTTGATAAATAGATAGTATCATTATGTTTGGTTAATGAAAGAGAGAATAAAGCTTATTACTTTCGAATCAATAGATACGTGAGCAGAGAGCGAGCCCTCAGAGGTTGACCCAATTTGTGCCTACCACCCGCCATGACTCATCGAATGAAAGAAAAACAACAAGACATTCTTTTTTTACCAATTTAAAGATATCAAAAGTACATTGCACTAGTGCCAAGTCAACTGCCTTTGGTAATGTCAATCTTATTTTTTGTTTGCTCATGCTGGTCAATTTTTGGCAGAAATGTGAAAGTATCGAATGGACACACAATGTTTGCGCCGTTTCGGGATCGTTTCCTTTTTTTGGTTGTCGAAGTGTTCAACAATGTTTGGCCGACAACGCCACAACTAAAAATAACCCCGCTCTATTACTATCTTTCAGTTCGGCCCCATCGATATTCTGAAACGTCAGTTCGGCCTAAAAAACATTTTACGCTGGTGTTCTCTTTTTTTTTTTGTTCACTTCATTGGTACATTTAAATTTGAAATGAAGAAAACACAATAGTCGAAAAGCTGTACAATTTGCAGTGCACATTATAGAGAATACAAGGAGAATATGAAGGCGGCATGGCGCACGTCGTTCAGATAATCGATCAACATATGCATGAAATAACATACGTGTCGTTGCTTTTAGTGATGGGAAAAATAAAGAAAGAACATTACATACATTTTAAAATGATATTTTCCTAATTGGTTAAATGAGTAAATGATGCGAGAGCCAACTAACCAAGAATAAAAGTCGGAAAGAGTAGAAAATCGGAATAATCATCACAACGACAAACTTGTATGTGTGACTTTTCATCAACGAAATTTCGAAGTGACATTCAACAAGACGAGAAAAAAAATGGCATAAACATTAAATGTCAAAGGGGTATTGTTCTTCAATTGCTCAAAAGACGTTGGTTTTCCCAATATGAATGTAAATTGATGGACAATAATAGTGACGACATTGTTTTCTGTTCTACTACATTATTTACAAATAAAAGGTCACAGCTGTTGAATTAAAATAGAAATCAAATCGATAAGTTCGAAATGAATGACATTTTATTAGATACGATGAGATATCGAGTAAAAAAATTGTGTTTTGATTATAAACGATTGTAGGACGGAAGCATTTTTAACAAGACACCGCCAAAAGATTTACATTTTGTGCTACCGTCGAAGGTCGACAACGGCTGACTTTGACTATCGAAATTCCACAGCGCGCCAAAACACACTCTTTATAAGCGTTATATACAGATTATTTTATTCGCGCATAGTTTTCTCTCTTCCTCTCTTTCTATCTCTTTCTCTATCTTATGTATATCTACAGTTTTGTGGTGAATCGTCAATATTCAGTCGGTATTTTTAGATCGCATGGTCTTTGACGGCTTTGTTCTGACCAAAGTGAAATCTCATCGAGTTTGCTATTTGCATCTTTTTTATCAGTATACATTCCGAAAGCTGTGCACTCGAACCGAAGCGAAAAAAGGCAAAAAAAATCAATCGTTCGGTTTGATGTGTCGAAATGTATTGATTTTGATTGTGACAATTATACAAATGCGAGCATTCGAACAAAGCCGATTTCAATTCAATTTCTTAATTATAAACAGAAATAATCATGCATTAACCTATTCTTTTGAATGCAATTAATTTGCATCGGGCATCAAAAGGGATACTGAGATACAAATAAATTGAAATCAATATAAGCGATGCGTGCGCGCGCGCGCGGTGTTCGGTACGGTCCCATCGTTACTGCACAATCTATAAAATATTCGAATAGTACCACGTACGATTTACCAGTTACAAATGCCAAAACCGTAAAATACACACATGATCAAAGCGATCAAAATCACACGCGTTTCGTCTCAACCATGTATACACAAACTTACACATAAACGTCATCATTTAATCCAACGTATATTTACATGTATATACCATGTAGCGTATGCGGTGCTAACATTCAACACAGTATTACATGACATTTACTCAATTCGATTCGTGTGATTGTATGTATGTACGCGTTCGTGCTGTCATATTTTTTTGTAAGCACTTTATATAGAGTGTCAAGCATCACATGCATGTGAACGCACACAAAGCAAATATCGAAAAAGTCACATGTCTTTTTTGACGACACTGAAAAAAAAGCTGTCATCAACTAAAAAATGTTGTATGAAAATAACGAGAAAATGCTTATATTTTTCGTTCAATGGTTTATTGTTTTCTCTATTGAATGTTTTGTTTTCTTTATCGTTTGGTGCCATTTTAATTTTTCGCCAATTTATAATGGTGCAGAGGTGATACAAAACCATGCTGAATATAATGTAAACATTAGAGAGAATGTCATCAATTTGCGTGCCGTTTCTTTTTTTTACAATTCATTGAAAGAGATAGAAGATCTCCTTGAAATTTGTCGGACGAACAATTGATAATATATTGGTGATCACTTTACAGAAGAGCATCAACAAATACCCCGAATCTATTTTCAGAAATTCTTTGATGGGCAACGATCATTTTCAAATGCATGTGTTTTGCTTTTGTCGAACTGTTCTTTTTTTTCGTCTTCTTATTCTGTGGTAAGCTGAAATTGAAACCATTCGCCGACCAGAAAGAAAAAAAATATGCTTTTTTCGTCTCTTTCCTACCTTTGTTTTAATGTTCAAAAATATTTCATATTTCTGTTGCCATCGAATACATTACTCGTCAGAGATCAAACTCTTTTTTCACAAGTCAAAGTCAATCAAAGTTGAGAGTCATCAATGTACTTCTAACTTTGGATACTGTAAGTATATATATTTTTGTGCGTCTGTCTTTTTGTTGTTTAGTATTTAGTTGTACAGTGTAATAGCGTGAAATTGCAAATACGAAATAAATATACTCGTTAAAATGTTGCTTTTGACATGCATTCATTATTTTTAACGATTGATTGAATGAAATCGAGCAAATGATGATGATGATAATTTACATATATATTATGTTATGTTGTATTTGATCAAAATGTCGCTGAAAAATATGACAAACTTTAAAAATCGTTGAAAATTAGATCAAGAATATGTAAGCTCGTGTCTCACATATCGAATATGTGAAACTTAAAGTCTCCTATACGTATCTGCTTAATTACTGTTTTGATTTGAGCGCTACACGATTTTTGTTGCTATTACACACTTTCTGTGGCGTTCTTCTGTGTGCACCCATGGAAAGATACTTGTATTGGGAATCATGTGCTGGACTAACTAACCAGTTGTATAGCAATTCACGTTAACTTGCTATCGTAGCCATTGATCTCTTACACCGAATGAAAATGAAGAGAAAAAAAAAATATCAATTTATTACAATCAACGCAGTGCTAATTTTTTTTCTTCTTTTCGAATTCAATAGATGTTTCGAAATGACCACCGAATGTGTGAGCATGAGCATTACATTTATCGTTTAAAATAACGCACACGTCATACAACGCAATGTGTAAAAAATGTATTGATAATAATAAAATCAAAATGACTTTGCTGCTGTACATACATTGCTCATTCACGATCATATATGAAATGACCAATAAACACAACGATAACAAAACCATTTGGTTGTCGATCAAAGTTACTACATCATATTACTAATTCTCGGTGATTGTAAACTGTTGAATGATCAAAAATAAAATATTTCCATTTTATGATTGAGAGGAATCAGTGTCAAATGAAAAAAAAAAGAGTACACACAATGCTATTGCGCATTGAAAATTTTCCTTCAAATAAAAAATGTGCGTAACATCAGTGATCACATGTATATAGTAGAAGAAAGAAAAAGAAGACTTGTATGGCGCTTCAAGACATCTAATCTATTTGTTTGCTTTTTATTCGTTCGGATCACAAGTAGCCAAAAAAATTTTCGTTGTCAATATACAGAAGAGAGATAAAACGACGGCCCCATTTTAAAATCGAAACGCTGCTAAATGATTATCACTATTAATTTTTATTCACGTGAAGAAAAGGCTCGCGGCAACAGCATCTTACTTTATATTTTAAGTGTTGTACCTTCATTTGATATCAAATTGATTGTCGATTTTAATTTTGATTGAGATCGAAAATTGCGTGGAAACGATATCGAAAAATAAATGAAACCAAAACTCGATCGAATTCCAAGATATACAGAACTATTGATTAGTAGTTTAGAAATTAAATGCACACTTTCTTGGTACTTACCATTTATACCGCTGATCAATGGATAATTGCTGTCACGGCCTCCAATTAAGTTTTTTAATCCAGATTCGATTAGAGTCGGCGATGATCGTTCTCTGTCACTCATTATTGAAAAGTCTTGCATTCACACTCACTCACGCACACGTTTTGTACTCTTGTTGTTGTTGTTGATGATGATGATGATGTTGTTGTTATTGTTATTATCAATTGGCGTGTTGTATTTTAGAAAGAATTCTTTTTCCCGAATTTTCAACTGATTCGATTTACTGAAAGTATAGCAGATATATGCGCCGTTTGAATGGCCAGTTCTTGTTTTGTCCTTCAAATGCTACACACTTGATTAATTAGAAATATCGTTTTGTTTATACTTTGCACTCTCTCCGTTATCAAATCATTGGAGATAGAGTTTTTTTTATTTGCTTCTATCCTCAATTCTTCTTCTTCTTTAACAATATGTGATGAAAATTGCAAACTTGATTTGTGTATTGAGTGAATTTAAAGATTAATTTAAGAACACTTTCGAAATTTGTTAAAATTAGGTTTTTCTTCTGTGGATTGTTCACTTGATATTTAAATTATGACGTTGATTCATCTGAATTATTCGAACATTGTTTGTTTTTGTTTAAATTTTGAAAAAACTAAAATAAAAAATAAACTAAAATGAATCGTACACGTTCTCACTTTGGCTCAATGACCATAAACCGATCGCGATCTCAACTCACTGTAAATCATTGGCATGTACTCATGTAAAATCATAATTCCCAAGTCTTTTTTCTCTGCCTCTCTGTTTCTCTTCGTTGAGTGAAAAATAACGAGTAACAAACAATCACAAAACGTTGATCAAATCAATTGAATACAATTGCTATATATTTTTTTTTTGGCGCGTTTTCTTTTCGACGGTAGGTCCAATTTGTTTTTATTTTCTCTTTTCGATGCACTTTTTTTTCCACAACAAGATCTATTTTTCTTCCTTTTTGGATCATAAAATAATTTCGATTTAAAAATTACTTATTCGCATTCACTTCTCAACGATTTATAAGATAGATATAGGTGTATATTCAACGAAACGAAAAAAAAATCAACTGAAAATAACTGAATATTTTTTTTTTTGATATTTACTATTGCTTATCCATTGCATTAACTTATTTTGGTTTGTCTTTGTTTTGTTTTAAATTTATGTTTATTCATTTAAATAAGGCCCAAATAGGCATACGAAGAAAATGAATGAATGGTTTCAATTTTCTAAGTGTTGTTGCTCTGGTTTTTATTGTGTTTGACTTCGAAAATCACATTCCCTCTGGATGCAGATGCATTGTTGTTTGGCCAATTATTACAATAGGCGATGAGCGTCGTAAATTTTGCTAATTGAGATTTGATATTATTGAGTTTGTATTTAAATTGCACGCAAATGTACGTTCTATTGCTTTAGTAGTGTAGTGTATGATGACAGTGATGCCGATGATTTGAAGTGGTGTTCAATTGATGTACTATTTTGCCCTTTGAATGGTTAACAGGTTGGCTAACGATACTGGTGATGTTCCGTTTCGTTGTCCAAAAACTGTGTGCGGGTCATTGAAGTGTTGCGATGTAGTCGATACACTGAATTATCTGTTCACCCTCTTTGATCATCACACGGAATCACTTGATATGCATAAAGAGATAGAAACAAACAAACAAAAAAAAACAACAAACAAACTATGATCAATTGTTTCGATCTCGTTGCAATCACTTTTTGGGTGACTGAGTCTATAGCACTGTTCGATTGAATTGACTAATTTGGTGTATTGGTGTTGTGTTCGTGTTTTAAAATTGAATTAATAAAAGACAAAAAAAAGTTATTCTTTTGGCCGATCGGTCAGTAATGGCAGTTCAAATGTCAATCAAAATGATGAAAACGCTTTGAGAAATGTCTTCGGTTTCCGTTTAAATCTCGTATCAATCCGATGCACGGAGGAACAGAACTAACGTTTTTCTCTCGCTTCGTTTGTGATAACCAATCAAAAACAATAAGCACCGCGATTTCACGTTTGTGTGCCAAATGCGATCTCGCCGATCAAGTGGCAGTTGTATCACATGTGGTTTTTTCCACTATATCCCTGTCTCTGTCTCTTTTACACCCTTACACTCGTTCTCTTTCTGCTGCTTCTCTCGATCCTCGCACAATTTCACTGTATGATCGTTTTGTTATTGAGCATTCGTGTCCTTTATCGTGAACAGAGTAGATCAACCACCAGAATATTATGTGGGATTTTTTTATGCACGAAAAATACACATTAAACGAAGTCTATAAAAATGAATATATATATATGTAACAAACGAATCGAAATTTTTCAACTTTTCCAAGCAGTTAAAGTTATAAAAAAAAGAGACGACGAAATGAATAATAAATGAAAATGAAAACAGTAAAGAAGCGAAACACTGCTTCGGACTATGTATATATACACGGAGAAGATTTTAGTACATTCAGTACACACCGTAATGTGTACTATGTAGAGTTCTTGAAACACAGAAAACCGAATTATAACTGGCGATACGTATGAGACGTGATATAAAAAGAACACTAATGCTGAGAGAGCATATACACGAAAATGACTTGACGCGCGCGCACATACACACACTGGCCGATTGTGTATTATACTGTGTGGTAGCGCGCGCGAATCGCATTGGCCCTTGCGCTCGTTTCTCGATACATATGCTAAAAATGAATATATATACATGCATAGAACACACTATTGACTATGATGAATTAAAGAAAAATGCTTTACAAGCCACACGAGAAAAAAAAACACACAGAAATAATATGACGACAACAACGACCGAAAAAATATTAAGTTAGGAAAGACAGAGCAAGAACGTGAATGACAGAGCAGCGCAAAAGAGATGAATAAAAACAAAAGCACACTGACGAAAATCGACAAATGTACACAACGTTTCTCTATATTTTTCGCTTGTTGTTGCTTTCGTTCATTCGTTTTCGGCTTAATTTCATTTGAATAGAGATACATATTGAACTTTTCAAACAGATGAATATTTACGGTGCGAATGCGGCGAATTTGGAATTTATCTGAGTGTGTGTGAGTTGGACTTTTCTCTCTATCGTTCATTCATTTTATTCTATTACTTCATGTGACCGTTTAAATCTGTGTGCGCACTTCGTTGTCCGTACACATGCATATTTGTATGATATTTTTTTTGTTTCTATTTTGATACAAATGTACATTTCAGATCTATGTATGTGCGCGCTCTCTATTCACAGCAGTCAAGCTCTTTCTAATCTATTTTAGAATGACTGATAGTACTGGTTGTTTCATGAATGTTAGAAAAATATTAATAAAACAATTACAATGAAATAAAAAAAAATATCACCTAAAGGCAAACCGAATATATCACAGAGTATTCAAAACGTCTTTCATTCACATGACTCTGTGTGGAAAGTCTTCGTTTAATTTCAAAATAAAAATTTATTTGTGTGTATGCAGTTCGAATGTGTACGCTCATGCTCATGTCTTTGAATTCAACAATGTGTGTATCAATCGACATGTCATGTGCTTGTATATACACAGATGATATGAACGACAAATTGCCGCATGCATACTTTTATATCATTCAATTCATTAATAGATACATGAAACATTTTTCTTATTTCGTTTTGTATGCTCTCTCTCTTTCTCTCTCTCGTTCTCTCATGAAAAATAAAAAACATCCACAAGCATGCAATCCATTCGAAAGACAAACATATTACATTCAACTGCGCTCAAAAACAACTGTACGAACGACGAAAAACTGTGTCTTCAACAAATCTAGTCAATCTCATTGATTCAAATCATTTATTATCTTGGTTTATCTGCGATAAACTTTGTGACTTGCTACTCATTGTAAAAAATGATAATGTCGTCACAGCGCAAAATGCTATAGCGTCAAGAGATTTTTGCATATTATCGATTCAAGATTTTGACCATATACCGTAACATGTACACGTTTTTGTGCGGAAAAGAAACACATTTAAATTCACAAATTTGTCGAACGAGTTCATAATATTCGCCATCATAAATTTAAAATGAACATGATATGTGACATGGCAAGAGAAATGAATACATTGACGAAAAAAAAGAACCAATTTTCTCTATGTTTTTTTTAACAAGTGTATCGTGTATTTTTTGCATGCACGAAATGGTAAAGTGTTTTTTGAAAATAATTTCCATTGAAACGAAGCGCGTTTTAAAAGCTATTGAGTTGTTGAATCGTGTATATACAAAAGGTTTGTGTCATTTTGTACCAAAATAGTCGACTATTCTCACTCTTCGAATCATTTCTAATGGGTATACGGAGGACAGAGAGAGAACTTTACAATTTAAATCATTTTTTGACCAATTGCATTTGGCAACATTTAAAATGGAAATAAAAACGATTTTGGTGCGAAAAAGCATTCGAATTTGGATTTGGTGGCGATTTAATTTTTGTTTAATGGTTGCTCTGCAATATAACTTATAGCCAGATAATGATGGGTGTCTTTCAGTGCAAGATAATCTTCTTGTTTTAAAGCGAAATAGTTTTTTTTTCGCACATGAAATCATGTGCCAATGCTGCCTTTAACAACATCGTCAAAATACTTGTGCATACACCGCATGTCACATGAATGCCGGATTCGACTACATGTTGTTGGTCGCGAGTGTATTATTACTATCTAATCTTACACACACACGCACACACAGTCTCGCTCACTTAGTTTCGTTCATTGTTTTTCTCAATTTATTCTTCGTACTACGGACACAAATTATTGGCGTTTTGGCTGGGACGCGTGTGTGTGTGTGTATGTGTGGATAAGAGAATACGAATGCAAGAGTGAAAGAGTAAAGACGAATTTATGATGATAACGCCAGGCGCAATAAACGATTCAACGATATATGTGTTGGTTTGAGTCTAACAACAATAATTGTAACGTATACTGAAATTCAACGATATTTATGAGAATGGGTTCATTGGTGTTTATATATAAATTTTTGAATACAGTTTACTCTCGCCATGATCATTTTTGATCGAGTAACGAAGTGGTTATATTGTATTCGATCAGTGTTTCATCATCGGCTGGGCTCTGTATTTATTTTATATTTTATTACACATTTACATTTGCACGGTCAAATCGATCAAACGGATTTAATGCGATAGAAAATAAATGAGAAGATAAATTTTTGATTTTCGGTTGTTCAAATGAGTAGAGATGAAGAAAAGCAACAAAATAAAAATAAGATGACGCGCGCAACAGCAACATATTTAAATTGTGCCGGATTTCAATATGTGAAACGTTTCGATTCGAGATACGAATTATAATAGTTTAGCTCATTTGTCAGTAAAATTGTATCAAATCATGATAACGAATTCGATTTCATATTCGAATGAAGCTAATTTTATTTGCATATTGAATTTTCAGTGATAACTATATGCTTTAAACATTTCATTTGAGCCACATTTATTTTTGTTTTTTTTTTTTTTTTCAATTATTTTTGGATGCGAACCAACAGGAGCAAAATGAATGTTGCTTTGCTCATCTGATCTTTTATTATTTTTATGCCTCATGTGCACACAATTTAATGTGTGTTCTGTTGTTTTTTGCTCTCTTTCTCTTTGCATCCCCCCACCTCACCGACTCTATCACTTTTTGTATACTTTTCTCGTTGTAAAATTGCTTCTGGTTTTTTCCGTCAATTTTTTTTTATTCGTTTACCACTCGCGTTGTTCGCTTTACACTTGCTCACTGTGTAACATATCAGTCTTTTCAGCTAATGAATGAAATTCATCTTGTTTATTCACATCCGAATGAATAAAATTATGAGCTAAATACACCGCATCTCTGTACACAAACAAACAAGCGAAAATCAACTCAGAACATTGAACGTTGGTTCTCATTGTACAGCATCGCTGAAGCAATAAATATTTGAATTTGTTGTATTCGTCTATTGCCTTTTATTGTTAGTGTTCATCGACAAAAACTGAAATAGCCGAACACGTTAAGTGTTTCAATAGAATCGGTACAACTGTCACACACGAAGAAAATTAAAAAAATACATAACACCAGCCCATAATTCATGTGATTCTTTCGTCTTTGATATATTCATATGAATGCACGCTGTCTGCAATGAATTCTATAATTTTTACGTATATTTTTGAAGACTAAATGATATTGACGCACAAAATCTTTTAATATCTGAAATGTGAATAGGATTCGACTGAGTCAAAGCGAATGAAAAAAGACACACACATATACACACACAATTAATGATTAAAACGAGATCTGGCAAAATGAAATTCAAGTCGATTAGTGTCATGTGATTGTCCCGAAAATTTCATTCACTTATTATGAACTTGATATTAATGTTGATATTTTATCCATTGAATAAACTGCAATTTAAGATGTTGTATACAGTTTTTGATTACAATTTTTCTTCGTTATCACTTGTCAGCTAATTTGAGCTTTCTATCTCTCTCTGTATTTCTCTGTGCAATGTGTACACTATGTACTTGGAAGGCATTGTCTTGCAGTTGAAGCCATTTAAATTAAGGCCGGTTATATATTGGAATCCATAGTTTCATTGTTAATTTACTTTTTATTTCGTTGTGTTTGTTTTCTTATTCAGCTGACATTTCTCATTATCACATGTAAATACATTGCTCGTTAGTATTGTGCTAAAATTTCAAACACGATTTTCCATGTGAATATTGACCAAATTCTATTTCAATTAAATTGTAATGCACCGATAATAATATTTTATGAGCAATATGCGTTTGAAACGTGCGAGATGAAAAAAATGAAAAAAAAGTGTGTAAATCAAAGGAACATGCGCGCATAAATTCAACAGCTGCCGAATGAGTGAACGAAAGATGCAGAATGATAAACTAAATCAGAAAGAAAACTATAAAATCCTAAAACTCGTTTAATTTAATTTCCGCGACAATAATATTTTTGTTCATGTTCCACCATTTGTTTTTCTCTCATTTTTTTCAACGTATCACTTTTTCTCTATTTGTCTTATGAATGCCATTGCCTACGAAATGAATTGATAGAAGACGTCAGCCACCGCCAAAAGACCACTACATTCATGGGGCTATAGTGTTACAATACATTTATATACAGAAAAAAAAGAATAAAATTGTGCACCCCATTAACCAACTACAGTCAGACGAATGGAATCGAGTGTGTATGTATATAAAATGCAAAATATTAAGAGGTTTCAAGTGAGATGGAACACATAGTACGGCACGGCACGGCACAGAGGGCATATAAATGGAAAATCGATTTAGTTTGCAATAGATTGTTAAAACTGTAATGCTTGCAAATCATCGTCATGTGCGAATCTATTCGGCGTATTTGACTCAAAGAAAATAGAGTAACAAAGTTCATTTTGAAATGGAAGTGGGTTTTTGTAAGTAAAAAAACCAAGCAGAAAATGAAGAAAAAGAAGAAGAAGAGAAAAAACGCATATTTTCTTTGTCGATCTTGTCAATGTGAACACATACTAAAACATTTGCAATGATTGCAACTATCTATATTTCGCCACAGCCATATTTACTTCCCCAGTTTTTATTTTCTATCCATTTTCTCTATAGTATGTTCGACGCACGTTTTTATTTGTCTTCATTTCGTTGTTATTGCGGCCGCCACTGCTGCTGTTACATTCGTTTTCTTGTGGTTTTTTTTTGCAATGTTCACCACTTTTTATATTGAGAACACATCGAACATACAACTTTGTGCAACGATGTACAAGTGTATGAAATACGATATGGATATTGTGACAACTGGAAATATGCACAGGCCCCAAGAAACTTTTTACCCGGCTCAAACAACTAAGGGATGGTGTACAATGCGACTTAGAGATTATTGCAGTAATTACCGTGTATTGAAGGTACCACTACAATTTCGTTACGATTCTTTCAAATGGATTTTTGTCCGTCGGAGAAAAAATTGATATACTAAATAATAACCGAACTAATTTTCTTATGAACGGTCATACACCGAAATCATAAATCTATACATATCACCATTATATATGTATTGAAAAAAATGCTAACATATCTATGCTCTTCGCTTCATATTATACCAAATTCTGAATAAAATATTGCATTTGAATATTAACTTTGGCACTCATGGGATTCTGTTCTTCTTCCCTTTTTTTTGTATGTGCTGAACTTTGAATCGGTGAAAATCGATTATTATTTCATGCAATAAATGGCGCACACAAAAAATACACATTTTCATGCAGTGACATGGGTGAAAAAAAAATTGGAAACAGCTATATGAGGAGCCATAGGTAATGTGTAAATGTGTATATCCAATCGTCTGTTGTTCGAAATTATCATTACATTAATGTAGCTGTATTTAATATGAATATATTGTTTAGTTGTGGACATGTTCGAAATGTTAATTTACGATGCGATGGCACACATTGTTTGTGTGTGAATTGTGCATTTACGGCCAGCAATCAACAAATCAGTGTCCGAATTGTGATTGGTTTCTATCGCAAATGTATCGACAGTCGAAAGCAAACAGAGAAAAACGAATAGAAACGCGGAAATACAAACATTTTCTGTGAAGAATAAAGTAGGGAAAAAGCGTAGAAATCTGTACTTTGATTCTGACTGCTTTCGACATACAGACACACATAAATGGCTCTCTGAACGATATCCACTGATTGCGACTATAGTATACATATGATGAAAACAAAAATGACGACGACGACGACGACGACGATAACGGTGACAAGAGAAGAGAAGAGCTATGCAGTAATCGGAAAATGCAAACAATGCGAATAAATTCGTCGCTGTTTGCGGGATACTTGTGAAAAATCGTTAGACGATGTTAAGAAATGTCTTTTCGTAGGTGTGTGTGATATTTATAGTTGGTTGACTTTCAACTGTTTCTCTTTTTTTTATTATTACTGTCATTCCGTTTTTCTTCGGTTTTTATTTATTAGATCGCACACTGGATCTTTGTTCTCCTAGTGTCCATTTAATTTATTCATTTTTTTTAACTTCATCATTTGGTTTTCAAGCGTCAAATTAAAATGCAGCCAAATTCCACGTCAACAACACCAATTTAACAAACGCAAAATTAAATAAAAAAAAAAACAAGAGAATTCAACAACATGGCAAAACTTGTAACTTTTATCACTAAACTCATTTATTTAGCTAAATTAGAGATAATTAATGAGAGATTTGGTAAATTCTTCCACCAAAATAGACAACGAATATGCATTTCATCGCTGGTATAATGAACTGTTGTTGAATTCAATTGATTTTTCCATAAACAATAATCGAATATGAAATCGAATCGTTGATTGTTGTCAACCGATTGTCATTCAAAAATTATTCCGACTAATGCCTCTTCTCTCTATTGATGACACTCACATTTTCCGAATGTAAACACTGTTTCTCTCTTCAATTCGATCTTTTGCTTTTTGTATTGGGTGTTAATCTTTGCCACTTATAATCTTCTTCTTTTTCTTCTTTAAACTAGTATTTATTTAATTAGTATTATTCTTTTTCTTTATTTTTTATTTTATTTTAATGAATTCAATTGTTGTTTTCTTTTAAATATAAATAACAATAAAAACTTTTCTTTTTGTAACGAATTATTCTAAAATATTTATACACTTTCTGTACAAGAATAGAAGAGACAACAACACACAACATAAATGGTATCAAATGGATTTTTCAACATTTTCGTGTTGTTATTTAGCCACACCGTTTCACCGAAAATATAGAACTTTGAATTTGTTGTTTTTCTTTTGTGATATTGTATTTTGTTTCTGTGTGTATTGCGCTAGTTTCGGAGAGCTTTTTTAGCGAAAGATCTGTGTATGTGTCTGGGTCGGTATGTTTGTATACAATTTTCTGCAGAGAGCTTACACCGCTGCGATATGGATGATATTGTATGTGGGTGGTTAAGAATGTGATTGTATTTGTATGTCAGCGAATGTATGGGTTTTCCTTATGGACGTTGCGGCAATACGACTCTCAGTTATAACTTCCTTTTCGGGGGTTAAAAAAAAGTCGTATTTTTTTCTTCTTTAGATTTTCTCTATTTACACATACACATACGAAGTCATCCATTTCCGATATTGGTACTGTGTCTCTTTTGTGTATCGTTGTTGTTAGTTTCATTTTTCACAATAGTTGGAAACTTCTTGAAATTTTCGCTTGTAAGCATGCATCTCATATGCTAAAATATCGATGTAAATATTATGTCGTGTATGTATGCTGCTGTACGTATACATGTGATTGTTTATTTTGTTTTGTTTGGAAAATTGGACAAACGGCAACAAAACCGTACCATACACCACTAACGTCATCATTACCATCCAACTGATGGCATCTTGTAAATGTAACAACACAAGCGCAGAAAGCATATTCCCCGCGAATGACAACAACAAATAACATTCATACGAAAACATAGATACGGTTCCAATTTGCGTGCATGCATTTTATTGCGACCCTCTGCGTCTTATTCGTCTTTTCTTTTTTTTCGGTTCGGCTCTATCTCTTTTTGTAGCTTTGCCATCAATTTTAAATGAATTTAATTGAAAAACCGACCAAACAATATACTCAAGTCAATGTTTTGTATTCGCTTCTTTTAAATTGTTTCATCAAATTTGTTGCTGAACGCCATTCAATGCGAGTAGAAACGTTTCGTGCATTGGAATCTTTTGCGGTGCGGACATTTTTTTTCTCTCGAACCGGATGAATATACAGGAATAGTGAAAAGCAATTTAAAAACGAGACGAAGAGAAAAAACAAATACTTTGCGAAAAGCTTCATCGATGGAGATTACCAAGTGAAACTTACCCGTCTCGGCAACAATACATTCACTACAAATTAGAAATAAGCTTTTAAGTGGAGCCCGCCCACATGATATCAAAAAGCGGTTTACATTTAAATATTTATTGGTTTTTGTGTGCTTTCTTGTTTTTGGGCCATTTTATTAATATTATTATTATTTTTTGTTGCTAAATTCACTTAACAGCTTTTAAAACTATTTGTATCTCTAACAAAATAATCATTTTAAATAAAAGTTTCTGCACATTTCTAATTGTCATTTGGATATGAATAACTGTAATGAAATTTTTAACTTTTTTGGCTACAGTTTTGAATAATTAAAGTCCCTACACATTTGCATTTGTAATTCACAAATTGAACTTTGAATCAGAACTAAAAGAAAGAAAGAAATATCACTAAAAATATATTTTTTTTGTTTTTGTTGAATGGATCTTCAAATTTTATCAAATGGATTGTTTCATAAGATTTTTTTTTTTTTAAATGTCTTTAAACTAAAATAAAAATAAAAAATTACACGATACGAATGTGGATTGGTAGAAAAATTCGGAAAGAAAAATCGCGATCGTGTTACACCCAAAGTACGTGTATACCGGTCGCTTTATCGGGGCTGTTTTCATTTTTCAATGAATTGAATGTGGTGAGCTTCTTTTTTGGTGGAATTGGTGGTGCTGAATCGAATCTCTTATGAAGAATTGGCGGTAGAGATTTCATATCGGTGTGAATCACATTGAATGCATTGCCATTGAGCATTTCATTTGATTTTGGTAAATCATGATGTTCAGGTTTATCGTCTTCCAATGATATTTGATTCGATAGCATTGTTGAGTTTAGTGCTAGCGGCGGCAATAATGACGTTGGATTCGGTTCATGATGAAATGAATTCATTGAACTGAAACCACTTTCATCGTCGGCCGAACTGCTGGCCACCGATTTGATGCGATCTTTGTTCAATGCCATGGCTTCCATTTCAGTTGCTGGACTGTATTTATCTGGATTGATTGCATTCGAACGTCGATTACCACCACTACCGTTTAGCACTGGCAGGCCATTGTTGTGGGCAACATTACCGCCACCAATGCCACCATCAAGTTGAATTTCCTCATCGGTTTCGGTGCGAATCGATGAATTTGAATGTACAGATCCATCACTGGTGCTATTACTATGATACGAATTATGGCTTTCACGTGATTTTAATTTACGTTGCAACGATGTTGGCCCCGTATATGATTGAATCCCACTCGATTTAAGATCGGACAATGAATTTCGATGAAATGACTGTAACGACGTTTTCGACTCACTCAGAATCGGTTCTTTGAGATTCAGTAAATTTTGAGCCGTACGATAGAGGCGAAACGCTTCCTGGGATAACTTTTCAGCATCATCATCATTCAAACCTTTTTGTGGTGATTTCTTTGGAGACCGGCGCCTAAGCAATAACGAAAATAAAAGAGAATGAGATATTGTAAAATATATAGAAAACGTTAATAATAAAACGACACGATTTCAATTTGAAACAACAACCAAACAATAATAATAATAAATCCGAACCGATCACCACAAAAACTTACCACGTAAAATCTGTAAAATTGTTGTACGAATCGGTGCTATTGGCTGTTGTTGTTGTAATGGATGAGGCAAATGATTCGTTCAGTTGATCTTTTTCCGTTGATGCATTTGCACCGGTTTTATCGGAAGCGATATTGAGGTTGCTTCGCAGAGATCCAATGTCGCTGGTGCGATGTTCATTTTTTGTTGCCGGCTGGGTCGACTGTTCGATAAACATGTGGTTGATGCTACGAGACCGTGCAATTTTGTTGTTCTTTTGCATGGATTCAATACTTTGATAGCATCGCTCTAAAAATCGTACCACCTCTTCCATCAGTGCATGATACATTTGGCGACTGGATTCGACCTACACAAACACAACAAAAAAGACAGACACACAGAGAGAGAAACAAGAAAATCATTAGCAAACGATAAAATAGAATAAAAAAACGGCGAAGAATTTACATTAAAATTTGCTCTAATCAAGTTGAAAACGAATCAGATAGCGATGCAATTCAACACAGCGAAAACGACACAAGAAATCATCATATTTCGTAAGTTGTATTTTTACGCATCATAAGTTGTCTGGTTGTCTGTTTTCCACTTTTAAATGCTTTTAATTTGATCCGTTAATTGGTGCGCGCGAGCGTGTATATGTCAGTGTGTATAATATACGTACCTGAGTCAATTGCCATTGTAATGTTTCGATTTGTGTCTGAAGAACGGCTTCTTCTACAGTGCCATTTGTGGTTGGCATCATTGTCTCTTGGCCGTGTATCTCGCTTGACCCATTTCTGTTGACCAAACGTCGATTCTCCTCCAATAAATTTTGACATTCCTATAATGAAACCAAACGAATAAAAATCATATAAGTCAACTTTTTTTTTAAAAAATCATCAACTTTAAAAAAAAAAATTAAAATTATTCGCAATATGTTTGCGAATAAACATCTGTGATGCGACAAACAAAATTAGACTTTTTGATGCAACGAAAGTTGTTAGTAGACTCGACTTGATATTGACCCTATTAACTTGTAATCAATCTAAATGAAATATCTATTCTGCAAAATGGTGTTACCAATGCCGGCCGTTGCCAGATTCATATAATCAGAATATATGTATTAAAAAAAGAAGTATTATGTACGGTGTTCCCAGAACGGGATAGTAGACGGACAAGGAATAAACATGAAATTGCTATAAAAAATGAAAACAAGTAAGGCAATGGCAAAAATGTGGCGCAACATTACATTCGCGCACTGAAAGATCGATGGCGAGTGAGAATATTTTCGCTCGTAAAAATGCATATTACATTTCTTCCATTTGACTAATCAGCGTTATTCAAAGCGCGACTCTCAAATTTACATCATATGAATGAACTACTCACATCGACGTTTGTGTTCTGCATCACCTAACAAGTGGGTTTTTGCGATGAATGCATAATGCCTTCAATTTTTTTTTCTTCTTCTTTGGTTTCGTTGTTTCTTATAAATGTTCGAGTAGAAATTCTATTTCGCCACGATGATGATAATACATTTTTTTTTTCATTTTGTTTTGTTTCCGACGCTATTTTCAATCGGCGATGAAATTGCATGCGCAACTTTTGATTTGAAACTATTTTGCGTCTAAACAGCAAAAAAACAACAACGAATTACATGCAATAGTCTTTTTTTTAAACTTACATCTAGAGCTTCGACGAATGCACATGAAACTATATATTTCTGTGTTATTTATTTTTTGTTTGTTTCATATAGAATGGTGTTTGGTTAACATTCGAATAAGTTTCAATGCCAAAACATTGAACATTTAAAAACGTATTTTACCACAACACATACAATCGACGACCAATCGATTTTGTATATTTTATTCAGGTTTTCTGGTACAAATCTAGAAATTCACAAAATATATATATATGTATAACGCGCCATGCGCGCGTACATATTACTTTAAATGATTGTGTAAATCGGTATGTTGATTCGATGCATATAACGAGCATGATAATGCGGTCGATTACGTTAAAGTCGTGTCATCGTCTTCGGTCAGATGGGGAATGTATATTGAATTTCCGTTTCGCGTAAAAATCGAAGAAGTAAAAAAAATTATCTCATTTGCACCTATATGCGGAATGCCCAATGACACATATAACATTAACTTGTCTACTTTTTACAACAAAAAAAAAAAACAGAGAGAGGCACACACCACTATTAGCGTAAATGTTTTGAAAAAAACTGTATTTGCCGAAATCGCGAAATATGTTCCGTAAAAGCAATGCTATAATTAAAACACGAGCTATTTGACAACATACTCGTGGTATTGAAGATATATGTATAATAAAATGTGCGATGAAAATTGATTGCCATAATAGGTGTGTTATATATCAGCAAAAGACGTAGGAATTAACATCATACTGTTTCGCGTATTCCGTTTATCGCGAAATCGATCCACCAACGATCATCAGAACAACATGAGCTCTAAAAATCCGCTATCAAACTTTGTTTTTATCTCTTCATTTTCGAATTCGTTCGTGTTGCTGAAGTTTTTTTTTCTTCTCTTTTTTTCAAAGAAAGCAAATAGTAGTTTATCGACCCGACACGCCATCATTTCTATATTTGGTCATTTCTAATAGGCACCTGAACTCAAACTGAAATTTATTGTCATGTTCCATTTTGGCGAGAAATCGATCCACACAATGATCGTGACCATATGTCACTTGGTTCTTTTACTTGATTAGATTCTAAGTAAATACGAAATATCTAACGTTCTAATAATTCTTTGCGTGTATCTTTTGGCTGAAGAAGAAAAAAATGTTATAAATCGCGCTCATTTAACATTAAACTGTTGATGGTCTCTCTCTCTCTCTCTCTCTCTCTCTCTCTCTCTCTCTCTCTCTCT